CCTTTTTAGGTGGCAAGGGCCAACCTTGAGTGGAAACACTCCACTCAAGCACGAGAAGTCGGCGCTGGGACCTGGCCTCAGTGAGAAGAACGCAGAGCAATCTTGTGATACAAAATAATGAACTCTCGAATGTCGGTCCACATTACCTTGTTTTTGTTTAATAATTTTGACGATCAATGAGTGCTGACGTAGGTTTAAATTAATTTAGAATTTATTTATTTGTTCAATAATTTCAAATACCTCCAGGGTCACGAGGAGATTTCAGAGGTGAGTGGATAGCAGAGTTTATGAACCAAAGAAATAAGGCAATAAGTTCTAAAAATGCCAATAACGTCCTGCTAATAAATACTAAAATACTGTCATTGCTAATGCAGTTTTAAAGGCAACGCCATCAAGGATAAATAAAAATATAGAATGAAAGATGAAAAGTCTAATACAAAAATAAAACAGTATTCATTTTCAGTTCAAGGGTCGAAACACCCTCCGAAATTTCAAGGTTTTTTCTTCCCCCTTTCCCATTTCTGGTGTCAGTTTGTGTGTGTGTGTGTTTGTTTTGTTGTCAAGGCAATAAAAATCATATGTTTCTCTTTCTGCTCGACAACCCACTACGGCGAGGGGCCGGGCCTACAACATTCCAAAGCAAAACGAAGATGACAACACTGTCCATATGGACTGCGTGAAAATTGAAATACGCAAGTCCGGCTCCGGCTCTCCGAAGAGCTCTCGCCAAACTCGGTCGTGTGAAGTGCGAGACACATGGACGGCAGAATAGTCCCATCCGACAGTCCGAACGCCGCTCCGAATTGCCGCACGCGACAGATTGAGGCACACGCTTCCGACCTTGCATGCGACACAACGGTCCGTTCGGCTTCGCCCAGGAGATCCAAGCGCCCCAGCGGAGGTCCGCGATCTCTGGTCCCAGGTTGACGGATCAGCTCGCACGAGCGAAATCAGGGGCTCGTTCTCGGTAGCGCGTGCGTTCTTTGCTGGGGCCATCTTTCTGGAATGCGTGAGCGGGATTCACGCGTCCGGCTTCCCGTCGCCCAGGTCACTTACAAGTTATAACTAGGATTCCGTGTTTTCGGAGTTTATTTTTCTAGAAATTCAGAGGGTGTTTTTCGGAGTTTATGTTTCGCCGGGAATTCGGGGTTTATTGGAGTTTATTTTTGTTAGATTCCCGATTCTTTGAAATTCGGAGTTTATTTTACTGCGTAAAATTTTAAAATTTGAAAACAAAATAAATAAGGTTCGGATGCCATGACCCGCTGGCCCGAAGGAACCTCGACGTGCTAAAAAGCAAACCCCCTTTTTGTCAGAAGTTCGAAATTTCAAAGGAAACTGAAGTGGAATCACCTCAGGACCACTAACCTTGTGCCCTTATAAAGTTTAGTTGTAAAACTTTGGCTTTTCTACTCTTTATTTTGTCGCTGCGACCTCTAAATTTTGAGTTTTTCGAATAAATCCGGATTGACGGAAAATTTATCCGCGGGTGATTTTTCGGATTTTTTTCGGATTTATCCGAAAACACGGAACTCTACTTATAACTTTTGAATAATGTGTCCGTTCAGGCTGAAACTTTGGCATCTGGTTGTGACCTCTAAAGCTATCTTTGGGCGTAAAATGAACGTTCGGCGATGCCTAGTTTATTTTTGCAATTAAAAAAAACAAAAACAAAAAAAAATCTTGTATTTTTTTTTGTGACACCTTGTAAATAGCGAACAGTGTGATTTACCAGACTCATGAGCTCAATACGGGTGCTCTGAGGCCTCAAAGGCTTATCGATGCCGACAAACGAGCTGGATTCATTTCCTTGGTCTCGTCAAAACACCGCGAGCACTTGCACCATTTGTCTTTTCATTTCAGTCATATTCTTTATGAATCTCTGTTCCAGCTGAAGGGGAAGCTAGGGAAACACAAGTAGAAAAAAAAATACTCCATGTCAAACCTAAAAAAAAAAAAAGAAAAAAAGAATACACTATTACATTTCGTAGTATTCTAAAAAGCCCGCTTATCAGGGTTTAAGAGAATAAGATTCTGAGTTTAGAAGCCCTATATCATGTGATTTCGGCCCCTTAAGTTTGTCAACCGTTCCAGACCATTTTTACTTCGAGTCTGGCACAACCGAAGACGCTACACTGTAGATGACTACCGAAGAAAAACAAGAACGGAGATGAGAAATTACGTTTTTCAGAAAATTTTTGAAACCTAGAACATTAGAGACTTCTTATTGAGTAAACACTTTGATATAAACAATGATTTAAATTATTAAATAAAAAAGAAATATTTGGCACTTTCACCGCAGCCACTTATTTGTCCCCGGAACACTTATTCAAAGGACATTTAACTCCAGTCACTTGTTCTAGATTATCAGGTCTCAAATGTTTATCCTTAGATCAATGTTTGTTGAATAAAAATGAAGCATATGAAATATACAGGGAGAATCCGAAGGTGACTACACTCTTAATTTGAACACCCATGCAAATGGACTTTTTAAACAAATTTCGGTTCACATAGGTACACAACTATAATAAGGCGGTGAATTTGTTTGGTAAAGTATGGAATGATTGGTTTATTTAGTAAAGTAGCATAGAAACAAAAATCCGCATTTTCTATACTTAGATCACGTGTAAACAACAAATGATATTTGGTTCACTGCCGTGTTTACTTTGACGAAATAACTGGGGCGGGGGGTATATCTAAGTAATGTTTGCTTACTTTCTATTGCAATTTTTCTTGCATTCTTTATAAACACTACAATGACCCAATATGCCATTTGATGATTTCGCATGAAAAGGCTCAGCGTAAATTCGTTCGTAAGCAAAAAAAAAAAAAAGCATTTTATTTTTACTCGAAGAAGTTTATAATTTTATTCAATGAATTCACCCTGCTGTACTTCATTTTCACTGCTATCGTGGGACCATTTTTTTTTATTTTCTACCTTGTACTTGGGACCAGTTGTTTCGGGACCATTTTCTTCTAGCTTTGAGTGCTACGGAAGAAAGTACTATACGAATGTATGCTGCCTAGCCATAATGAGGTATAGACGCTTTACACACGCGCCAGATTGAACCGCCATAGCTGCCCTTCTCTTGTCTTACCGAGATGCCGAGCCACTGAAGTGGGCCTTGACGGGTCTTCACAAGGGCCTACGCTGGGCACAAGAACACAGTAGCATCTAAAATCGCAATAACCTGTCCTACTGTGGTAATGATGAAGTGAAGCGAACGGAATAAGAGGGAACAAAAACTGAAGGTCAGTTATGGCGGCGCCCATGCACAGCTGCTGTAAAGCGTCTATAGCATGCTCTCACAAATGTCCAACACTACTCCGATGATGATAGCCAGTGAAGTGAGCAGACTGAATTTTGGAAAGGCTCCAACCCGTCGAGCAGAAATGTCTTTTTTTTCTCACCCTACCAACCCTCGGTATCAAAAAAAGAGAGAGAGAAATAGAGAGAGAGACGAGGTTTAGAGGGGGCGTCCCTCTACTTGCTTCGAACGTATATGTGCTTGCACATAATTATGTCATCATGTCTAGAGCCAACGTGCCGTGTCTTTTGTATGCTGTACAAGTAGGGTCGACGCCCTTTGTTTTAGAGTAAAGCCCAATGTTTCCTGATATTTACAGCCCGGACATGTTTCTGGAAAATCGAATTAAACCGCAATATAGGCACCAAATAAAGCCGAGTATTGATTCTTGAATATTATTTTTATTAATATTATTATTATTATCCTCATCCTCGTCGAACAGGTCTTTCACATTGTTGAAAACTTTACGTGCACACTTTATATCTCCGTTTGCATGTTTTCTTTTTTTGCAAAATTGCATTGCCGAGAGAAAATCTGCGTCCTCTTAGCCCTGCGGGCTGTTACCCATTATCCAAAGACACCGAAAGTCGTAGGTTGCTATCGCACATTTTTTGCTTGTTGCTTACGCTCCGGCGCCATTAGACAGCTTTTCCGTCATTGCACTATTTTTTTCCGGTTGTTAAAATAATGCTCCAGCCAACGCACATGTGCTGCAAAACCTCACTCGCAACTTATATAAAAAAAAGAACATGCAAAGGAAAAATAAAATTTTTAGAACAGCCTAGATGGAAAAGGAATGTCGTAAAACGAATTTACAACGAAAAAAAAAAAATTGGAGCTATATTTACGGCGCGAAACGAGTTTGTGCTTAGCGCCCGCGGGAGCTGGCCGCTATGGTCACGTGACTTGCCGCTATCGTCACGTGGTGCTTGCGCTCTTTCGGGAGCTTCAAATGGGTTTTAAAAGTTATTTATTCACCTTCGTTTGAAGTGCAACAAAAGACGAAGATTAATAAGTAACTTTTAGAGCCCAAAAGAAGCTCTTGAAAGGTCGCAAACACCAGGTGACAGACCTGTGCGCCGGTCAAAAACTGACGGCGGCGGCGCGCCGGAGTGTTCCCTTCCAACGGCGGCGGCGCTGCACAGGTCTACCACGTGACCAGTGGCAGGGCCCGCGGGCGAAATTCGTTTCGCGCCCCGTAAATATAGCTCTTTTTTTTTCTTCGTTGTAAATTTGTTTTATGACATTCTTTTTCCATCTAGGCTCTTAAAAATTGTTTGCTTCCTTTGCATGTGTCCTTTAAAAGGCGTGAATTACGACCTTTTCGCTTCGTGTTTGCCTCTTCGACGTTATTATATTGCCTAACGCTGCATTCTCATCAGCTGCGGAGCTATAATAATGAGATGCATAGAGTTACCCACGCCGTACGTTTCTTTAAAAAAACAAAAAAGAAAAAAGAAAAAAGCAGGTTGCTAGCGCAATATGGTTTACGCTATTTCATCCCAGCTGTCGACGTTGTCGCGGCGGTGCAACAGGAAATGCGCCGAACCTAACCCTCTGCCTCAAACTCAGACGCCCGTTGTGTTCGTATATCGACATCTGCTTGTCCTTGAATAATTTATGAACCCCATTTTTTTCCGCCAATGAAGAGTCGGCAGCGAAAGCCCGCGATACTCTGGCTCCGTCACTTAGGTGTAATACTTGGTGGCCCCCGCGCAAGGATCGTTACCAAAGCTCACTCGCGCTTCTGCTGTTGCATCGGCGCTACCTGAATTCGATGGGACCCGCGGTGGCCGACCGGTGGCTGGTTGCTGCGGCATGCTGCTGGATGAACGTCTTCGGATCCGGCATGCTCCGTTCGACGGCAGTTGTCTTTGCGGGCAGTCTGCAGTCGTTCCACGTCACCAGGGAACAGGCGGCCTGGCCCGTCACTCTCGCCGGATTTTCCTACATGTTTTCAGGTAAAAGTAATCGTGTTAAGCGGATATTTTTCGTGAAGTCAGTGATCCCCAACGGGCGTCTGGATCATTCCCTGTCGATAGGAAATTTAGCCAGTGCAGTATAACCGCTAGCATGGGGTCTTTAACGTGCATCACGCAGTAGTGATACACGACCGCACGCCGGTAAGATGGTTATTCAGATCGAAACGGGCAAGGGTGGAGATTGAGCCCAGGATCTCTGAAGTCTGCAGCGCAAGCTTTCGTTCCACGTGGTCCAATCTGGAGTGCGCGGATGTGCGCTAGCCCACTCCGTGACGACGTCTCTGGCAGGTCTACGGCGTCGCTCGCTTCGTCGAAGTCTTCGACACTGAACGCAGCAGCTCCGAGAATAATCTTTATCAAAGGAGATTGGAAGCTGTTCATTTTGACAGCGACCCGCTGGCGACCAGGTCCAGCGACGGCGAGTCGCGGTCGGAAGACAAACTTGCCGCGGTCGCCGTGGTCCGAGACAATCTCGCAGGCGTATGCAGGGTGGAAGGCCAAAGGGCCAGGGACGAGAGCGATAATAGACCCTTTCCCAAAACGTCAATTGATGCATAGATCAAATACTTTACCAGGGGGAATACATTCCACTCCGCTCATTTGCATTAGACAGAACGCCTACAGCGCCGAATCCAGCCCTGACGAAGTGGAGGTCCGTATCAGTCCACGCGCATGTGCACGTGAATGTTCGCGGCGGCCGCGGCGGTGTCGTCTCCGATTCCACCTAAAGCCCCTTCATGTTTCAAAACTAGCGCAAGATGCGTCGATGCACGAGTCACGTGCAACGTGCAACCCTTGGAAAGATCATGGCGGCACAGCGCAGCAAAGTATTTGGCGCAGCACTGAGCTAGATTTTAGACGCCATATTCTTCCTTGAAGTGGCGCGCGGCACGTGTCTTGAGCATTTCCACAACAATAAATTTGGTATGTAGAACAAACATCATCATCATCATCATCATCATCATCATTTACCGCCCGATAGCCGAGACCTCCCCGACGATAGACGGGTCTCGCCAAGCACAGAAAACCTGTCCGCGCCGAGGCTAATTGTGTTTGAGAAAAGTGGAATGTATTCCCCCTAGTAAAGTATTTGCATAGATTATTCAATGCCGCCATTAGTTGGTCTCGTCGCTTCCGGCGACTAGCCCGTGATTGCCTCCGAGTTAGCGCGGAGCTCTGACACACCACTCGTGTGGAATGCGTTTCGATCCGAGTGCACTCTGAATGCTCAGTGCATGGCCGACTAATGGCGGCCGCATGCGGGTGATCCATGCATCATTTGCCGAATTGCATGAGCGGGTCTGATCGTACCGCAGCGAGGCGCGCGCTTGGGCGAGAAGGAGCCGTGTATACACCTTTCCGAAAAAACGCTCGACCCCAGGGGCAACAAACCGTTTTCGAGCACAGTCACTGATTTGAGGCTAGACTCTCACCGGCGTCCCTCCTAACCCTAACCGAGTGGACTGTGATTTCAATAGGCGTAGCCTGCGTAGGCGCTGTTTCAAACGCTGCCTAAATTCTCGTCTTTTCCCGCTATATTTTGTGTTTCATGGTATATGTATTTTCCCGAGGACATTGAGAAAACATTGTACCACATTTGAAAAAAAAAAAAAAGCAAAAAAAAAAAGAAAACACTGTAAACTATTTTTGTTGGGTACGCGCGCGACAGAATGAATGCGACTGGATTGTATAGTTCTAGTTATTTGTGTTTTTCTCTTACGATAAGTTTTGACGCCGCCGCGGGATTCGCCGCATGTGAAACGACAAAGCGCTTTGCTGTTAAAAATAAATTGCAACAGAAGAGGGCCGAAAGGCATGCATTTTTCAAGCTTACAAATAACGTGTTTACCGATGGACAGGACACAGACATACAATTGAGGAAGATGCAGCGTTATTCGAAAATAATTTATTTGAGAAAGATCTCAAATAACACAGTCACAGACTCACAGTCGACGACAGTAACATCTTGACGATCGGACGGAATCCGAGATGACTTTGTTTTGGGGCACGCTTTGGGGAGAGCTTTCTTTTTTCAGAACCGCATTAAAGGAACGAACATGACTGACCCGTTTCCCAACCCAACCCGGACAACTATTTTTGGAAATGACTGATGATTCTACGCGGATTATCTTTGGGAGGGTGGAGAACAATATTCGCAAAATCGCGTCGAGGTTCGTTCGACGTCCTTCACCTCCTTCGTTTCCCGTGATTGTAAAGCAGAAAAAACTTGAATGGCAGGCACTTACCAGCCTTATTTCTCACAGTGGAAGATAACACAAAAAGGGTACGCAGCACACATTAAAAACTTTCAAGAGCGGCGAGAAAACGTCGATTGCAAAACCGCAAAAACGTAGGTAGAAAACCGCGCTGAGCGGGTCTTCACAGTCCAGGAGAGTGGCAGAAAATTTCTAGCTGATAGAGGGTGCGAGAGTCGCACCAGCCGCTTCAGCATCAGCAACATGGCGGCGGCCTAGGAGCGTTTTTTGGAAAGGTAGAGTGTGGTCAATGCGAGGAGCGGGCAGAGTCAGGGCGTGCACCAGACGCAGAGGGAGGGCCTGGCATGCTCTGTTGGTCAACCAGAAGCCGAAAAAAATTCGGTGGTAGCGAGAAGAGTTTTAATAAGACCGTAAGGGTTAAATGTAGTAACTCTTCATGCTTGAAAATATGCTGCACGTGATGTTTCGGTTATGATAATTCAAAAAGATGTTAGAAACGAATGTGCCACTCGGACAGTGTGTGACCGCTCGGACGACAGATTCTCGCCCTTCGGCACCTGACGTACGGATTATGTCGATCGTTCCGCAAGTCGCGCTCTTCCACCATGATTTTGGATGACTGTGATTGAAACATTATGTGGACCATAATTGCAGTCACTGAGAGTTACTCCGACGCACTTATTAATTTCGTTTCTCGCGACCACCGAAAGAGTATTATTTCCGGCTTCTGGTTGGCCATATTTGAATATGTGAAGACACCCTGGAACACGCCCAGCCGCCATGTTGCTGATGCTGATGCGGCTGGTGCGACTCTCGCGCCCTCTATCAGCTAGAAATTTTCTGCCACTCTCTGGGACTGTGAAGACCCGCTCAGCGCGGTTTTCTACCTACGTTTTTGCGGTTTTGCAATCGACGTTTTCTCGCCGCTCTTGAAAGTTTTTAATGCGTGCTGCGTACCCTTTTTCTGTTATCTTCCACTGTGAGAAATAAGGCTGGTAAGTGCCTGCCATTCAAGTTTTTTCTGCTTTACAATCACGGGAAAAGAAGGAGGTGAAGGACGTCGAACGAACCTCGACGCGATTTTGTGAACATTGTTCTCCCCCGTCCCAGAGATAATCCGCGTAGAATCCTCAGTCATCTCCAAAAATAGTTGTACGGGTTGCGACATTTTTAAAACCAATGAAATGGCCGCTTTCGCGTCGCGCCGAAGGGGGCGTGGCCAGGCACTGTACGGGATATGGTTTGCTTATACGCGTCCGGGTTGGGGTGAGAAACGGGTCAGTCGCGTTCGTTCCTTTGCCTTGGTGCGGTTGTGAAAAAAGGAAGCTCTCCCCAAAACGTGCCCCAAAACGAAGTCATCTCGGATTCCGTCCGATCGTCAAGATGTGACTGTCGTCGACTGTGATTGTGTTATTTGAGATCTTTCTCAAATAAATTATTTTCGGATAACGCTGCATCGTGTGGTACGTACGATTTATTGTTCGAATGTTAACACTTCCTCAAGTGTATGTCCGTGTCCTGTCGATCGGTAAACACGTTATTTGTAAGCGTGAAAAATGCATGCCTTTCGGCCCTCTTCTGTTGTAATTTATTTTTGAGAGCAAAGCGCTTTGTTGTTTCACATGCGGCGAATCCCGCGGCGCCGTCAAAACTTATCGTAAGAGAAAAACAAATAACTAGAACTGTACATTCCAGTCGCATTCGTTCTGTCGCACGCGTACCCAACAGAAATAGTTTACAGTTTTTTGTTGCTTTTATGTTTTTTTTTAAATGTGGCACAATGCTTTCTCAATGTCCTTGAGAAAATACATGTACCATGAGACACAAAATATAGCGGGAAAAGACGAGAATTTAGCCGCCAGCAGCGTTTTAAACTGCGCCTACGCAGGCTGCGCCTATTGAAATCACAGTCCACTCGGTTAGGGTTAGGAGGGACGCCGGTGAGAGTCTAGCCTCAAATCAGTGACTGTGCTCGAAAACGGTTTGTTGCCCCTGGGGTCGAGTGCTTCTTGGAAAGGTGTATATACGGCTCTGGATTGGGCGAGTATGGGGACGCCTAGAATGAGATAGCGTTCATGATCACGTGGTTTATGGACACAGTAGTGTAGCTACCTTGGACAGTGTTGCCTGGTCGCCAGATGAAAAGGATAAAAATTCGGAAATTGAATATTAGCAGTCACTAGAGCTCTGAAAATCTCGAAACGTAGTGTATATACTAAGTGGCCTATAAGCATTCCACTTGAAGAATAATATATTCGTTTAATTTTCGTGTACGAGCCGCTTTCAGGCGTCACCAGCGGTATGAACCCTTCAGGACCACAAACTTGGACAACTGATGTCTACGTCTATGCACCGCCGTTCCGAAGCGGCCCGAATGCGTGGGACTTTTCTCTCTTGATGAGTACATTAGCGCTCAGGGGGTCGGTCTTCCGTCGCAGACGGAGGCAGTGCAATACCCGTCGGTCGGCACTCGGGGAGGCGCGAGGCCACATCACCGTTGAAATGCTGCGATATATCTCGTATTTCTTCTACCATAGTCCCATAAATTATGCCCATCGATGAGTTTCGTCTTCTAGGATTAAATAAAAGTCGCGTTTTGATTTGCACTTGTTTCGACTGTCCGTGTGATTTCTGATTTAAATGCGCTTGGGTTGTGTCTTGACGCTTGTTAAGTTTACCTTATGTTTAAATATTTGTTTCGTTCGATTGATTCCGCGAGTAACCAAGAAATGCGTTCCCTTTCATACTTGAGTTTCATGCCATTACTTCCGTTACATCGAAAGAGATTTGTTACTTTCGATGCACGCGTTTCATTTCACTGGAGGCACTTGGACGTTGTCACACGTATACCACTTCCGGAGGTGCCGTGTACACAGCCTACCCGATATTTTTTTTTAATGTTTTGTTTATAGAATGGACGGTACATCTAGACAACACCGCAGCCAATGAAACTCCGCGATGTTTCGTTGGAACAAAAATAGTCCGGCATACGTGCGGAACCATGCTCCCATGTATGCGTGATGAGTATTCTGCACATGCGAGTAAACCTTCTTTCGTCCCCGAAATGCAGCGCTTGCAGCGGGAGTCCTCGCAAGATACATCAGCGTCTGGAAGCTGACCCTGGCGGGATCTGTGGTCAGCGCCATGAGCGTTTCGCTCTGCTACTTCGCCAATGGCATACCCTATCTTATCGCCTTCTACGGAATATTACAAGGTACGCAAGTACTAGGGGCATGTTCGATTTTCCTGTACCGGCGCAGAAAAGTGTAGGGCGGTCGGTGTAGTACCGGTCGTACCTCAATACACATAACGGACGCACACTTGCCTATACACCTTTTTGCTTCGGTGCAACAGGTGCAAGTTAATCGAAACAGCCTACTCTTATCGGTCAGTGGCGTCAAAACATTTAAAAAAAGAAGGGGGAAGGGGCCTTTTCATGTTTGACCAAGACCTCACTCCGAGCTGCTTCCCGTCAGTTTCGAGCAAAGAAGGAGGAAGAGGAGGGGGATTCGGTGGGGAGGGGGGATGGGGGGGGGGGGGGGGGGGGTGGGGGGGCGTCTTTATTTCGAAAGTGCGAAGGAACAAAAAAATGGGGATCGTTGAACTTGGGCTTAGTTTACGGGTTAGCCGTCAACAATTCCTTTTTTCTTTTTGCTTACCGCTGTATAGGCTCCTTGCACTGAGGTCACATCGCACATAATTGAACACCAAGTAAAAGGAGGAGAGGGAAGCTGCTTTTGTAAGAATTTTGAGTGACAGGTTAATCTTCTATAATCTTCTGGGAGGCGAATGGCGACGCCTGTGCAAATCCGGGAGGCACAGCGGAGGATCCTGATAAGAGGGGTCCTCCGCTGTGCCTCCCGGCACAGCGGAGGACCCCTCTTTCCCTCTTCTTTGGAGGGCAACGAAAATGACGTCCTGTGCAAGCCACGTATTTATCACGGTACAGCGGTGTGTGCGTGCGTGTGCGTGCGTGTGCGTGTGTGTGTTTGTCCGTGTCCGCGCGTGGGTGCTTCCGCACGTGTGCGTGCGCGTCTGCGTGCGCGTGCGAGTGCGTGTGTATGCACACATAGTCTTGTTTTCGCTCCTCGTTTTGTTCGTTTCTTTGGCGTTTTCCTTGGCTTCCAATCGAACCCCGTGGTACACCCCAACGAACCGAAAAAGAGAGAGCGCGACCCTTATATTTGTTTTTCTTACAGGGAAAGATTGCGCCTTGCTCAATAGGCTGGACGTTCGGGAGCTTGAAATTCCAGTTTTAGGCATCTAAAAACGGCACAATACTCAGTCATTGGCTAATTGAGGCCCAATCATTTCTTATCGAAAAGAGCATCTTCGATACCATTTTGCATTTACGTAAGCAATAGAAGGGTTGACTAAAGTTGTAACATTGTATATCTACGGAGCTGTGCATATAGTTTATTACGGCTTCAATTCAGCACCTTTATTGCTTACAGAGACAAAACGTGTATTCCCAGACCTTGTCACTGAGAACTAATTGCGCTTACATGGGCCTGGTATAGTTGTTTCCACCGTTTAATGGGTATGAAACTAGATTTTTAGTGCCCCCGACATCTGACTTCTAATCATGTCAGAACTCTAACTCTTACTTTTTTATTAATGTCTATGATAAACTTATAAAATTATCAAACAGCAAAAAAAAAAAAATATATATATATATATCTATATATATATATATATATATATATATATATATATATATATATATATTTAGAAGATGTCATTCGGGCCTGATTCAAATCAACACACCAAAAACAAGGGGATTAAAATCATAATTTAAATCAACTTTTTTTTATTCTCCACCCTGGGTGTGGTTTCGTTCATAAACACGCCTCAGGAAGGAACAATCAATGTTGCGCAATACTTTGTGCCCGGCATTTGTCGATGTAGCTAGACTGCCTCGTCAGATGCATGGTTTGTTAAAGATGAGGCCAGCGTTTATAGTGTAAGCTCTTGCAATGTAAATACTTGGATGGTTTGCTGACAAACATTCTGAACAACATTTGCCTTTGTGGATATTCAGATCACGTTGTCCCTGCTTGGTGGTACATCGCGGGTTGCACGGCTTGTTTTAGCATTGTTCCTAATTTGGCTTTCTACTCTGGCAAACATTTCTAGGGTATGCTTGTAAACGAGGCATTCGATTACACATTGAAAATGTGCCCCACCGGTGATAGTTTATGCTATGTGTCTGTTCGTAGCCTCTACCTTCGACTCAGGTTTGAAAACATTTGATGGGACGATCCCGCAGGACGTTTGAGATGCCTCTTACCCGCGTGCATTTGGCAAGCGAGCTAAAGATATATGTAAAAAAAAAACTGATAATTTCGCTTTGTGTGACCAGTCGTGGGCACAAACTTGGAAAAACTGAATACGTGGAAAAACAATGGTGCAGAAAAGGTAAAGACAGGTAGTGTGTTTGACAAATGAGCGCCGAACACGAGACGCCGCATCGGGACGAAAACACGATCGGAGGCAAGCACGATCTTACGGCACCTCCGACCCAGGGGTCACTCCGCGGGTTCTGTAAGTTTTCTCCCATTTTCAACAACAGCGCAATCAGAATCCGCGTGAGTTTGCTTTCGCGCACACAATGTTGATTACCTATAGCTTTCTAAAACCAGCGAATTACCGTCCCTTACTGCCTTCTTGGCGAACTTTGGCGATCCCTCCAGCTCTCATCTGCCGGTCCTTCGGAAAACTATGAAACCAGACGTCCTTGTATGTGTCTGGTGCTATTGTTGCTGCAGCCAGGGGCGCAACACGTGAATCCCACCATAACGGTGGAGCAAAAGAAAAGCAATTTGATAGAACAACATTGCTAACGCCGTCCGTGCGAGGACGGCCGTCAGCCACATCTTCACTGCATCTCGGCCCGCGACTGCACCAGCCCCGCTGCGCAGACTATAAAGCCGGAGTTACACTCCTTATTCGTCATACAAAAGACAGTCTGCAAACAGATTCGAACGCAAGTCACCACAAGATCCTAAAGCCCCTTCATATTTCAAAAGTAGCGCAAGGTGCGTCGATGCACGAGACACGTGCAACCTGCAGCCCTTGGGAAGATCATGGCCGCACAGCACAGCACTGGGCTAGATTTCGGACGCCATGAATTTCCCAGAGGTGGCGCGCGGCACGTGCCTCGAGTAGGGTGCCTAGATGTCTGTCTGTCTCAGGGTGAAGACATCCATTGTTGTCCGGAATGTGCCAGCGCGTGACGCTTTCGCGCACTCGGTGCGTGACTTGGGCGGTAAGATGGCGTCTATGCATCAGCCAGAGCTACGCGCTCGAGCTGAGTGACACCGGATTGCGCGCACTTCAAAATGCATAGAAGGAACGATTGGGCGGAAAAATGGCTGAGATGTCACCACTCAAGCAAAAGCGCGCGTGTGTATGAAGGCACTCTAGCCTCGAGTATTTTTACAACAATGAATGGGATCCGCGCTTCGAGTGCCGCATGGCAACGAGTTCAAGGAGAAACTGGGCACGCGGCACCCGAACCACGGATATCGCGGTGTCTGGTGTCTGCCAGACCGTCTTTTGTGTGACATATAAGCAGTGTGCTGCCGGCTTAAAGGTCCCACAATGCATCGCGGCAGCGGTGGCGTGGCAAAACTTGCTGGTGAGATCAGTCTATTGGAGGAAAGGGGAGATAAACCCCTTCCCCCCTTCTTGAGCACTCATCATTTGTGACGTACGACAAATATTTAAAAAAGTTAATGAACAAATTTTTGCTTTAATAAGTAATATTTTTTGTGACTGCTATCCCCTTTTCTATAGTCAGTTGCAGGTTAAGAAACCAGCACAAGCTCCTCCCGTAGAGCCCTTTCCTCTTTCACTTTAGCAAAGAGAACGCTGGAAAGGAGGCGATCTTCTTGCCTCTTTTCCAGTGTTCTTTACTCTTTCCACTTTATCACTTCAGCAGGCGCTAAAGTGGAAAGAGAAAAAAGCTCTACGGGAGGACCTTGTCCTGGTTTCTTAACCTGCAACAGACTATAGTGTTTGCCAGGTCTGACAAGTGTAGGCTAAAGACAACACCCGTGATAACTCTCACCCCCTAATTAAAGGGATGTTCAACCGAAATTCGGAGCTCACAAAACAAGGCTGGAGCGATAGGGGGGACGCTGTAAAACCCCAAAGCATCCCTCACACAGCGATATCTCTTAAAAATGGCCATATTTTTTTAGAAAAAAAAAAAAAAAAAGTGCACGATTGAACAAGGCCAACGAGACATCTTACGTCACGATTCTCATTCCCTCTCCTTTTCGCTTCGTCTCTTCGAGCAAGTGAACGGAAGCGAGCAAAAGAGAAGCCAGGCCGCTTCCCCTCATTCTCAACCGTTCCAGGAGAATCGAAACGTCACATTTCTCGCCTTGTTCCCGCCCTTCTTTTCCAAATAGACGGTCATCCGCTTGAGATATCGGATGTATGATGTTTTGGAGTTTGTAGCGTCCCGTTCAACGCTTCTGCGGCCCATGCATTTTGTGAAATGCTAAGTTTGGTTCGGCATCCCTTGAAAAGATCGGTTCGAACTAAAATCAAACAGACCGTATATTGTAGTGAATTATTGTTCTTCTGCAGGCATCACCGCCGCGTACACGACGCTTACTACCACGGTCATCAACCGACACTTCACTAACTACAAGACAGTCGCTTCTGGCATTAGCAACGCAGGATTCACGATCGGAGGCCTCGCCTTCCCCCCGATTGCACAGCTCTTCTTCGACCGTTACGGCCTAAGAGGAGGTCTGTTGTTGGGGGGTGCTTTGATGCTCAACGCTGCCGCCGCCGCCTTGCTACAACGAGATCCTCGTGTGGTGTCTGTTCCTACTTCTCACGAGAAAGCACGGACTGATTCTCCTAGAGCCAAGGCATTACAAGGAGCCACCCTTGAGAATGAGGGTTCCCGCGCTCCAGGAGAGCTCTCAGCCGGACTCCTGCCAAAATCTGCGCGGTCGTCAAGTGAAGATAATTTAAGCACCGAAGATGAAGACATAAATATTCTTTTGTCTTCAAGAGTGACAGACAACCCCGGAACTGATCAGCTCAATGCACAAAATATAGAACTAGTGGAACCACAAGTTCAGGATGCGCTAAATATGTACGACGTTTCGAGGACAGCACAGAAGCTAGTAACAGGGTCAAGTGTTCGAAGCCATATACTCGGATCATTGTCGTTCTTTGCCATCCCCAAGTTCTACGCCATTGCATTCTCATATTCACACATTTTTCTTAGCGTTACCACCTACATAACCGTCGTCGTGGACTTCGCAATGGATCAGAAAATATTGAAATGGAACGCTGTTCTCTTGATCACGATCTTTGCAACAGCGGAGATGGTGTCGAGTTTTGCATCCGGATGGGTTACAGACAAGGGCTTCTTGAGAAGGAGCACCATGATGACGCTGCACTTTCTCCTCTCGGCCATGGCCTTGTTTCTTTTGCCCCTTTGTTACTCGTATTCCCTCATGGTCCTTATGTCCGTGATTCTAGGCTGGTCCACTGGAGCCACCGAGATCCTGATACATGTTTTCTTCATGGAACTGGTTGAGTCCGCCAACTTCAGCGTCTGCTTCGGTGCGGCGTCCCTCATGGCTGGCCTGTCCGGGCTTGCCAGGCCTCCGATAATTGGTATGTCTCGACGTGGTACTATCGTGGATACAACTGACTATAACATCGGCATGAGCTGTGGCGTCGTCTGCTTAGCGCCTAGCAGACGACCAAGTGGGGATGTCATCACAAACTGGAAGAGCGAGAGTGCCGGATCGCGCATGCGCAGTGTACGCCCAGCGCCGCGAGCATGCGCGGCTCTCAGAGATTTCGAAACGGTCACAGGTTGCGTGTTACAGCCAGCGCTGTGTCCACGATCACACACTAATAGGATCACTTTTAATTGCTATTGTAATGTCCATCTCGCAATATGCTATTGGAATGTCCATCACGAGGCGAAGATCTTATCCACCAATCACTGGTATAACCGGCGACAGGTTAAGAGTTGAGGGAAAGATCCTCGCACCCCTTTCCACTTTAGCAGAACAAACGCTGAGAGGAGGGAACCTCTTCTCCAGCGTTCGTCTGGGGAAGAGTTGAGGAAAAGATCCTCGCTGGAGAAGAGAGAACCTCTTCTCCAGCGAACGAACGCTGGAGAAGAGGTTCCCTCCTCTCTAGCGTTTGTTCTGCTAAAGTGGGAAGGGGTGCGAGGATCTTTCCCTCAACTCTTTGCTTTAGGTTGCTTTATAAAGACATTTTTTTTTAAAAACCGAGATTTTGCTATCCACACACTGGCGAAACAAGCGGACATCTTCGTACTGCCACCACAGGTGGCGTTGGTACTTGGCAGCATTGGAAAAAATAATTTTCCTGTCTTTCAATACGCAAGAATATTATTGTAAGAGATCTGTAGAGATAAGCGTAGTTGATGTATTGCATGCACAGTTTCAAAGACGCTTATTTTGACGAAGAACGCTGTCCTTACCGCGATGCTCCATAGCGATGTTGGCGCGACTGGTTCAGGACGACCCTTCTGGAGCTTCGAAGATTTGAATGAACCAAAATGGCGATGGCCATGGCAACTAAGACCGGTCAGCCAATCACATTGCGAGGTCTGGTTGTCTGTACGTTAGCATCTGTTTGTGTCCGACTAGCAGGCATGGGAGACAATGGCTTACTTTCCCAGTATCCATTTGGACGAAGCAGCCAGCTTACCGGCGACGACCAAAGCGGTCCATAAAGTGACGTCACGGCGGTTCCCGAGGCGGCCAATCGCAATCTAATGTAATGTCACAAACAACGGCCAATGAAAATCAATGGAAGAGCGCTTCATGTGGTGATTTTTTTTTTTTTTTTTTTTTTCACTGATTGCAGCGGGGAGAATGCAAAAGAAGTGACTTAAAGCCTCGGTTTGTCCCTTTTGTAAGCAAGGCCAAGATTCCGAGACATTCGGGCTAGTTTCAAAACTTCCCACCACGCGGCGCTCAAAGACCAACCTGCAGAATATTTTTCGACCAGAAAAAAAGTTCCCCTCGCCACACTTCCCATTTCCTCCTCTCCCACAGTTGACTTGACGGCGGGGAGACTCCTTTTGTTGCTGCATCTCGGGGCCAGATAAGCCAAGATAAGCGCATAATGGGCGATTTGCGGCGGGAGGCACAGCGACCCCTTTCCTCCGGCGATACCAGAGAAGCGCCCGAAACCGAACTCTCTTTTCTGCAGCATTTCAGAGCCTAGCTTCTCGGTTTTGTCTCTGAATTTTTGTTTTGTTTTGCGATAAGCATGCTTGGCTACTCCGAGCATTTGACTGCTTCTGCCGTCCATGTAAAGTGACCCAAGGCCATGTGAGGATGGGCATAGGCTAAGGGCCATCGTCCAAGAACCCTAGAGTTCGAAGGAACTACCGCATTTTCCGGACTATAGCCCGGGCCCGGTGCATAGTCCGCAGGGAAATATTTTGCGTCAAAAATAAAAGTGCTTGCTTAGATAGTCCGCACCCGGTACACAAACGCCACCCAGTGCAAAGCCCGCACTTAGCACCTAGTCCGAACGTAAAAAGTATCATACTCAGCAGACCTTGACAAACGCCTACTGTATTAGCTCACGGTGAAGCTTCATCGTACGTAAATCAACATTAGTATAGTCCGTTACTCATAAAATCCTTCACGATTGTCATAGTGAAGGATCTAGAAAAATTATATCATTGTATTGTCCGCACCTGTAGATAGTCCGCATCGGGCGAATTTTCAACTTTTAAACTTATATAGTCCGGAAAATACGGTACTACAGAGTGTATTGTGACCCTGGGTACTTGAAGAGGAAGTGGCGAGCCTTGCAAAAAGTGTTTACGGGACAGGAATTCATGCCAGCGTGAGTACTCTAACATGTCCGGTGCTTTTACCCCAACCCACCTGGTGGTGCCTAAATGGGACACACGTTGAAATAAACAGTGCTGGGGGCTGTCAGACCGTTGTTTTTGTTCTGAAATTTGACCGAAACTCCAAATATTGAGATCTGCAAAAATCCATAATACAAAGCAGAGCCTTTTTTTTTTTTTTCGGTTCCTTGCATTTTTATATTGCGTTTTGAGATCCTGCTAGTGACCAGTGCCGCGTTTAGACGTCATATTGCACGTGGCCACACCGGTGACTAGAACTCCACCTTTCCGTAAACAAAAGTTTAAAGTACAAGTTCACCCGTCAAATTTCGGGAGTGTAATTACAATATTGCGTTAATTTTTCTCAACTCATTATCTCTTCTCGAAATGGTTAATCACTTTAGTACAGTCGCCCTCTTGAGATTTCTAGGCGAGAGATGGCAAAAGCATTTTCCAAAACTAACTGTTTTACATTACCGAATCCTTTCTTAAAAATCACTAAAATTTAATTATATCACATTACAAATTACTGATTACTAAAACTATGAGCATTCTCTTCGTATTACATTTAATTTTTGCAGGTAGAGTTTGCTTGTCGATAATGAAATATCAGTCTGCTGTTGCAAACAGTGCAATGCAGGCGCAATATAATATATTACTGTCATGCCGCAACCTTGTTCAGGAAGCCGCCGATGACAACGAGGTTTTACGATGCGCTAGTAACTCCAAAGTATCTGAATCGGTTCCCGGACATTTCATCGAACGCCGTTTCGTCGAACACCGTTTCATCGAAAAATTGGACGTTTCATCGAACGCCGTTTCATCGAAAGCCGTTTCATCGAATCGCTGACGGCCATTTCATCGAATGTCTTTTATATAAAAAATGTGAAAGATGCTCTTTGATGCACGGATCGAGTGCATTTTCGTGTCATTCTCCCATTTCATCTTCAGGTTTTTTGATGTCCAAACTTGTAGCTGTTGCAATTTATTTTGATGCTAGTAACCCATGAGGATATTTGTACCGATTTTTATGTTTGTTTCGCATATTGTGCGTATCTGTACACCCCTTCTGTATTACTCGATGAGCCTTGAGGGTGTTGTAACAAATGAATAAAAAGTCGCACTCCCGGTAAGAGCGCGCTCCAACTCATGGAGGCCAGAAGACACTTAGGTTTTGTGCAGGCGCAACAACTTAAGCCATGTGAGCCTCCTAGCCTCTCATGTCTTGCTATTGATACTTTTTTACTGCCCGAAGCTTGCAGTAGCTAAAGCTGAGGTGCTATTTATGAAACTACAACGAAACATTTTTTTTGTTTAGTTTTAAGACTCAATGAAGTCAAAAGTAAGTACGTCACTTCAAATTTTATTTTAAAACTTTAAGGGGGTCATGTGTTCGTGCGACAGCCATTCACCGTTTCAAATGATGAGCAATTGCTCTCAAGAAGTCCCCCACAGCCATGCTCCGTCGGTTCTCATAAAAAAGGCGGACCTTCCCATTTCTTGCCGCTATGGCCTTCTTCTGGCGAGGAGGCTCTTGGGAACTCAGCATCGCGTCCAGCTTGTCTTCCGTCAGTTGATGTCCTGCGGCGATGCAAGCCAAATACTTCCAGAACCCCGGATGGGCACCTCCAACCAGCTTCAGGAAGCGGGAATGTCACCCTGGCGTTCGATAAAACGGCATTCGATGAAACGGCTTCGATGAAACGGTGTTCGATGAAACGGTGTTCGATGAAACGGCGTTCGATGAAACGGCATTCGATGAAACGGCTTCGATGAAACGGCGTTCGACGAAACGGCGTTCGATGAAATGTCCGGTCCCAATCTGAATCAGTGGTGTCGCCATGCTGTACTACAGCGCAACATATGAGATGAGACCACAACCGTGCTCTCGCAAGCTGGTTTTTAATAAAAAAAGATATTTTTTTCTTTAATTCTCTACTTGTGCTTGTAAGTTGCAACACAGCAAGAGCTACTCAAGTCTATTGTAATGTATGACTGATATCCGATAAGCTGAGGTGGCGTAACCTGTGCAGCATAAAATGCTTTGACGGAATCGTTTGTTCTTAGGTTCACGCGTGAGGTGCGAGCTAACCTAACCTATACCTACAACCAAGAATAAAGGCTTCGTGCATTAATTGGAATGCGACGGAAGCACTTCGACTTTCCGGACTGCCGTGACTATATCTGGAATGACTTCTCTAATCGAGGTGAACACACGCACACATATACCGGAGGCACTGTTGAAGTCTCAGGGGCTCGGGTTTGCGTATAGATTATCATTTGCGGCGATACCCGGTTTTCGCTTTGCTAAAATATTTCAACAACTGCCAGTCTTGAACGGGTCAACAAAAGAACTGATCGTTTTCACGTAGTTGGGTTAAAACTATGTGGTCAGGCTACTGTATGGGTGCACTACTAAAACCAATTATAATGACATCTAAAGCGACAATCACTTTCCTGTGTACTTTATCTTGTAAATAACACTTTTGCGATTGACATGTACTTTTGCGCGCGTGCACCGTCGGCAAAAGTCGCACCATTAAATGATCTCCCTTCTTTTTCTTTTCTTTTTTTCTGAGCGAGAAAAAAAAAGGGGGGGGGGGAGAGAAGGTTGTTGAGGGTAAAAAATGTTGGAGATATGTGCTCTGATTGTCATGATTGTGCATTTTTGATCACCCAACCTTTACTGCTCCCACACGAACGCGACGTCCCATGATGTCAACCGCAGAAACAGTTTGATCACTACTCGTACATCAGCCACTGC